AAATACCCAAAGTTAACCGAAAATAACCTATTTTAACCCTAAATTTTAAAATAAAAAATCAAACTGTTAGTTTTGGTTTTGCTTTTCAATTAATTCCGGTAACGTTCTAGAACTACTTCGGTTAACTGTTAACCGAAGAAACCAGCTCGGTTCGGTTTGTTAACCAAAGTCGCAGCCCAGCCTGACTATACAACTATAGGGGGCCTTTTCTCTGGACACTTTACCGAAGCAAGGGAAATTGTATATTCATTATAAAGGTGTAGTTGTCTTCGATTTCCCCAGAGTTAATAATAAGTCTCTTTAGAGCTAAAATAATTTGCTTTCTTAATTGAACAAGACTTTCTTACAAAAGAATTGTCCCCATTAAACGAAAGAATAAACAACTGTGGCCAAACCCAAAAGAAAGAAAAGTTAAAACCTTACACATTACCACAGAGTTAATTCATGTCCTTCCTTAGTGAAACCGATCTATGTTCAATGATGTATTGTATTCTTTTGGGTCCAGACCCTTTCCTTAAGCCTTTTTTCTTCTCTTCATGTTCCTGTCTTCTACAACGTCTCTTCTACAAGCACTACTTCAGTCTCTTTGAGTGTCATTCAACTTGCTCTCCAATTAGATCTAGACCAACAAGTAAGAAGGAGATTCCTTGAAACAAGAGGAAGTAAAAATGGATTCCTTGCGCCGATAAAAGACTTCGAGTTGCTGCGGTCAGTAACAGAAACGCTAGTGATAGCTCCTTCATATATATCCTATTGTGCTTCTTCTTCTTTTTCTTTGTCTTTTCCGCCTTTTTCTCGGCTTCGGTTTCGGGTGCAGACACACCTCTCTGATGTTTCGTTTTCTTTTCGTCTTTTTCAACTAAAGCAGCAAGATCGCCTTCCGATGATCGTCCAGATTTTTTTGTAACTACCCATTCATAAGCACTTCCTAGCTGAAATAGACCTGAGACCATTGCGTTGAACTTGGTCACAGACATTGTGTTCTCAAAGAGAAGGTACGGGACTATAAACGGAAATGACTTCGGGGCGGGAAGGATGTTGAGGAACGACATTGTGGCAGGTATGTAGCAAACAACCCAAGCGGGAAGCTCAGCCTCGGGTACAAACATAGTCATTGGCAGGATAATACAAAAGAGGGTAAATGAGTAGAATGGCAAGATAAGCTTCCTCAGTAGGAAGAAGAGGAATATCAGATTGAATTTCTTTCCTATGCTTATCTGCAAAACACACACACATACAAAGGCATCAGAAAACACACAACAGCCAACATATAATACTGAAACCGTTAGCGCACCTTTGATTTAATGACAGCGGGCAAACAAAGACGAAATAGTTGCATAGGTCCTGAATGCCATCTGTGTTGCTGTTTTCTGTAAGCTTCATAGGATTCCGGTAATTCACATTGGCACTGAGAAAGGCAACACATAGTATATGACATTAGCCAAGAATCAAACAAACCAGTTGGTAACAACAACAACAACAAACACGGTTATTGCTACAATACCTCAACGTCGTTTAGGAAAATGAATTTCCATCCATGAAGGTGAGCACGAACAGCAATGTCCATATCCTCGACGGTAGTTCTCTCGAGCCAGCCACCAGAATCTTCCAAAGCTTTGATCCTCCAGACACCGGCTGTTCCATTGAATCCAAAGAAATTCAAGAAGACGCTATTCACTTGCTGCTCAACCTCAAAGTGAAAAGCCAAGTTAATGTTCTGTAATCGTGTCAACAAATTCTCTTCCTTATTCACAAAGGACCACCTCGCTTGAACCAATCCTAGTTCCTCATTATCCTATCAAAGAAAACAAACCTGATTTAGTATACAATCTTTTGGATCAAATTAAGCTCCAAAATTAGCAATTATTACCTTAAAATGAGGAATTGTCTTTTTGAGGAAATCAGGTAGAGGTTGAAAATCAGCGTCGAAAATCGCGACGAATTCGTAGTCTTTAACATAACTACAGTTCATAGCAGACTTAAGATTACCAGCTTTGTAACCTTCTCTGTTAACACGGTGACGATACACAATGCGTGCACCTTGATTCTGCCATTTATGAACCTCTTCTTTAATCAAACTCTGCGTTATCGGATCATCCGAATCGTCAAGAATTTGAATCAAAATCTTCCCTTTTGGCCAGTCTAAGTTACAAACAGCAGCAATTGATTGCTGATAAACCTGTAAAAACCATAACTTAGTAAAAAAAATTAACCAATTCGAATTTTTTTAAAGCTTTTGGTTTTGGTTGCTACCTCTTTCTCATTACACATAGGGATTTGAACAAGAACCATAGGGAGGAAGGCACCATTGTCACCAGATTCAAGATCAGAGATAGAATCTGGTTTAGGAACCGGTTTAATCTTCTTGAAACGGATCCAAAAACAACCAAGACAAAGAATGAGTCTATCAAGACTCTGAACAAGAAACAGAACGATGCAGCCATTAGCAAGAAACTGAAGCGGAGGAGCAAGATACTCAACACGAAGCAAAACCCATCTCGTGTAAACCCAATCAAAGAATCCTTTATTGAAGATAAACTGAAGCTGAAGCTTAGAAGTTCCAAAGTGCCAACCTTTGAAGTAAGCAGCAATCTCAAAACCCAAAAGGATTAAAGAAAGCCAGAGAAACACCTTTAAGCAAGAGTAAAAAAGTTTCGATTTTTTCGCAGGGTTTTGCTTCTGTACTCCGGAGGAGGAGGAGATTTCAGTGTCTGTACGGCCGGCGGCGATACGGCGGCGTACGGCAGTGCCGAGAGCGATTAATGCAGAACCGAGAGAAGTGAGACAACCTGCGGCACGGTGAGCTTTAAGAAGTAGAACCCAAGTGAGCTGTCTTGCGTTCTTGTTACGAGATTTCTCATGAGTTCTTACGAGGAAATCGTCATGAGAAGGTGATTCAAGTTCCACCATTGACCAGTTATTAGGGTTTTCCATTTTGACGACGACTGGTGTTCCTTTACGGTTGTTGTTGTTGTTTCCTTTAGCCCACCATTCAAACTTTGGTGCCATTTTTGTTTCGATAGATCAACAAAAAAAAGAACAGAAGATGAAACAGCTACAAATTGGATCTCATTGACAGCGAGAGGATTGAAGGAGACGCGTGTTACTGTAATAACAAAAAGGGAAGAGAAGATGTAATGAAGAGAAGAGAAGAGAAAAAACTCTGTTCCCGAGATAATGAGAGAAAACAAAAAGTTTTTGTAGTGAAAAATGAGAAATTTTGAAGAAATTTAAAAGACAAAAGAGAGAGAAGAAACAAAAAAAGAAAGTGGTAACAGCTCAACACGTTTTTTTTTTTATATTTGCAGATTTTGAAGAATATACAAAAAAACCCAGAAGAATAAATTGAGAGAAACAACACCCAATGGTCAATATTTTTTTTATTCTCACTTTCAAAATATAAACAAAACAAAAAAAGTGACGTTGAAGGAATTTGTAGATTCCCAGAATAAGGAAAAGGATCAAAATGAAATGATCAAAAGCCTTGTTTGGATTTGTTGACACAAACAACAAAATAAGAAAAGCTGTCTTTACCAAATTTCTTGGCTTTGTTGTTCTTCCAAATACTCCACTTTAAACCTCCTCTGATGTTGGTACAATGTACAAATCGGATCTTTGATATTCCGCGTGTGATATTAACTGGGATTAGAGAATTTACCTCGAGTTAATGATCACACGCGAAACAAAAAAAAAAGGACAGTAATCTAAAAAGAAAATATCGTAAAATTTGTGAAGAATATCCGCAAAAGACAACGTAAGGAAGAAGAAATTAAAAATAGAAATGTGGATTTGAGATATGGATTTTCTGTTTTTTTTTTTACTGTGATTAAATTTGTAATGAGTGGGCGAGAGAGAAAGATAAGACCAAGTCTTTTGCCACACCGTTCATTTAGACATTTGCCTCCTAATTTGGCGCTTTTTGTTTTTTTACTGAATTTTTGCTGTTAAACCTTCATGATTTGTAGTTTTTTACACATGTTACTATTCTCTTAGTATCTATACTATTAATTGGGAAGCATTCCCTAATAATAAACCTTATAAAGTGTAAAAAATTACAAGAGAATGCCATTAGGAATTTTGCATTCAAAGAATCAATGAAAAAGATCGTGAAAGGATAAAATTGACAATTTGAATAGAACAAAAAAAACAAAAAAACGCGGATCCTGGGTTTGGTGTCGGATAAACACGCGGATCCTGGATGCATTTGGGCGGTTATATACGTGGATCTTGGACTTATGGTACGGACCTTGACGCGGATAAAGTTAATGCAATCTTCTTTAATTACCTACCATATTGATTATAATCGGGTTAATAGGAGAATATTCCGTTGACAAAATCAAAACTAACATTCCATATATATTTTTAATGGATTTATAGGGGCATATTCCAATACAAAAAACAATATAATTAATGAATTTTCCATAACTAAACTCTAAACGGGTTAATAGCATAACTATTCTAACCAAAACTACGTGAAATCTACAATTATGCCCACTAAATTCGGATATCTTAAAGATATTCTAAAGTTCTTTCCTATCAAACCTAAACCGCAGCCGACTAAACATCCCTATAAATAATTATTGAAGAAAGAAACGAAAACTCATTACCTCATCTTCTAAAAAAATTCAATTGGCTTCCGCGATTACTGAAGCCTTTCGAACCAAGATGCATATTCAAGTGAAATCTACAGTACACGTGAAAACGAAGGCGATGAAATGATTATTCCTCTGATCAAATTTGCCAATATAAGAGTGTAGGGAGGTAAATAACATTCTTAATTTTTCAATGGGTCTATAAGAGTCTATAGATGATTTGGCGTAGAGATTAATAATAATTTCTGAATATTGATGCAGATATCAAGAACATTTTCACTGCCTTCGACTGTTCTCAGATCATTATTAACCATCCATTTCAGAGGTTTGAGGAATTTAAAACTGCGTAAGCATTTTCAAGAATAAACCAACTTTTTAGACAACTATGATAAATTTAACGTGTTTCTAATTTATCTTCTTTTTTTATTGACAATTATTGTGTAACTAAGGTTGTGATGTCTCACAGGCATGCTATGTAGATGATATCTTAATCTGCATCAATACTCCTAGATCGTTAATTTGTGATCTATGTCCAAGTTTACAAAATATTCTTCTTATATAATGATTTTAAGTGTTGTGTTTCTTATAATCAAGTGAGAAATAATGAGATTCACAAGTGGTATACTAAATCTTACTAACTATTCTTTGTTTTTCTTTCTTAACTACAGATTCAAGACCTAAAATAAAGAGTTATCTAATCCTAACTATAGATCTAATGATTTTAATGTTTTTGCTAATCTCATTGTCATCTTTCCCCTAGGTTTTACTAATAGTAGTGCAAACCATTAACGCTACAATGTCCACTTTGATCTACAGCATCATCTACAAGTAGAAAAAGGGGTATTGTTGAGGCAACTAAGCACACAAGCAAGAAGCATTGGACTAAGTAATGAAGGATAAGAACATTTAGGATGAGAAGACTAATGAGAAGGAAATTAAATATGAGAATACCAAGGAGAAAAGGGATAACTACTCCTAAATTTGTTGTTTCTTTTGAGTTTTAAGTTGCTCTCGCAAATTCTATCGTTTTTATGATATACTTATCTTCTCTATTGCCTTTGTGTTGTTTTAATTTAGATAGCATTTTTATGCTTACTAAATAAAGTGTCTAACTCTCGGCTTAAAGAGTGTAAGTTCTATGTTACTAAGATAGATTACTTACATGATTAATTGATCCATTTGCTGGATAGTCCTCCAACGTTAATCTTAAATCGAAAACAAATAGCTCAGACTTTTGTAAAATGTAATGAAAAAATCACCTGGTGCTTTTGCTATTGATTGAAGACGCCTCCGAAGACATTGAAACTCAGAATACTAGGAAAGTGAAGTCTCAAAAGCACCATATCGTTCTCTGTAATACCGAGAGCTCAAGAGCTCCGACAAGATGGAAAAAATAGTAATTGATGAGCCATGAACCGAACTAGATACTACTTCATATGTATCTTGAGAAATTTGCTTCTGTTAAAAATGAAAGATAAAGAAACTGATCGAGGAGTGCTAACTGTTACGTGATGTCTTTGAACCGGACTGGACCTGCAACGCAGCTACTAAATCAACAAGTAGACAAAGAGCATAATAATTAATGAAACAACTCTCAGTTTTGCATGAACTTCAATCAGAATCGTTATAAAGAAGGAGAAAACTCCCCAAAAACCCAAAGAAGAAAACAACATCTCTTACCCATGAATTGATCGAAAGTGAAGATTTGTCTTTGAAAATATGATTAACCAAAAATCTCATCTACTTCACTAAGTGCTCGATCACATTGACACACTGAATTTGAAGAAACTCTTGATTAGGGATTTGATAGGTTGACAACAATATAACCTCTGTTAGAGTGAATTCATCATCATGGATTAGGGTTCTATCACCGGAAGCTACTGATGGAGAAGAACTCGTGGACTCAGCAGCTCTTTCAATCCTCTACTGTTGCCCAATTGATTAAAACTGATAAGCTAATAAAATTGATCCAATTATGAAAGCGGAGGTGTGACGGGATTTCCGAAAGAGAGGCAACCTAGAAACTCACCGAGAGTTCGAAGATTGGAAATCACAGTCTAGAAGGTAGGTACGAAAGAGAAGAGCCACCTCCAAGATCCTGAGATTTGATGATGATGAATGATGATGATGATGAATGACGATGAAGAGAGAAAGAGATAAAGAAGACGATGAAATCGATTTTGATTGTACCGTAACCCGAGATAAAGACATAAGTAATTTAACCAAGTGATTAACCTGACTTAACACAGGTCGAAAGATTATTTTTTAATCGCACTTTCCTTTTCCAATTTTTCTTTAGTTGCCGAGATTTTTTGTTTCCCTTTCACCCCTGAATTATTATATACTTTGTTTTCTGACGTGGTCTCGGTAAATTATTTTGCTTTCACCCCTTCAAAAATATTTTATTTTATATTTTGATTGTCTTTTTTATTTATTTTAGTAATACTATTCTATTAAAATGACATTGTTTTGTTGATAAAAAAAAATGACATTGTTTTAGTATGTTTTACGTTTTGTGACTATCACTAGCAACTAATTGTCAAACTGAAATATACTTTCTTAAAAACATTTATAATCTAGAATTTGTACAGTAAATAAATAAACAAACATTTAACAATTAGATTATATATACTTTTGATTGAATAAAAGTTATAATATTAAAAATATTTTAGTTTGATCAAATAAATAAATAAAATTAAATATTACCAAATGTTGGTAGAGAGGTTTTCTAAATTAGCAATTATCAATAATGTTGCATTATACAATATATTTATTTTACAAATTTTAAATTTTTATTTTCTTTCAAAATTTAACATTTCTATTTTCATTATTACACACCTAACTTATGCAACTGTTCAAATTATTTTTGTGCACCAAAACCAGTTGTAATTTTTTAATATAAAAAACACATAAAAATGTTGCAAATAATATTTTATAACTACACTATGTATAATAAATTAATAACGAATGACGAGAAATATTTTTTATAACGAATGAAACAAATAATAAATATGTGTACCAAAGTTTTAAAAAAACACCAAACAAAAATTTTCAATAAATATACTACATTTTTGATATACTGTTGTAATGGTCACTAACACACAAAAAAATAATTTATTAATTCAAACTTTATGCAACACATTTATTTGTGTATTTTATCCCGCACGTACGTGCGGGTCCGGATCTAGTGGTCTTTATCCTTAAATCAATAAATCTCCCTAATTCCTCCGTCAATTACTAACCATACGATGTCGTGTAAGAGTTTACAATCGTTGAATGAAATATGGTTTTTGATTCGACTCTAACAAAGATTTGATTGGTGACAACCAAGACACAAATATGAATGAAGAAAAAACTAATGGAAATCACTACAATAAATATTCACATTGATAGCATACGACGATAGTTCATTTGATAATAATGTAGATATTTCTTGTAGTAAATAAATATAATAAAATTTAAAGAATAAAGAAAAAATAATAGAATCTAAAACTATTAATTGAGGAACAATTTTAAAAGAGTATCTTAGAAAATTTTAAAATGACATGAAATGTAATTTATATTTAGGTTATTTTTATAGATACATTATATAAAAAAAAATTAAATCACTAAATCGATATAATTAAATATAAGAAATTGGTAACAAATCTTTTAGATAATTATTAATTTTCAAAACTTTAAACTCTCTTTCTATGTTCCATTAATAATAAATTCAAAAATAATTATTAGCCAATCAAAATTGAATAAGAAAAATTTGATATCCAATTATATGATATTTTTATTTTTGATCATTATAGTTTATCTTTCATCATTCTTTGATCCTTATTTTATAATAAAATGAATGATCACATCATTCATATAATAAAATAAATTTAGATTTTTTTTTAATGAACATATAATTGTGTTCAAAAACATATTATAGGAGGTCCACACTAGTAAAAAGATGTAAGAGTAGCACACATGATTTAATAAGCATCTGAAATCTTAAAAAATTAATTGGTTTCATCCGGTTCTTTTGAACTGTATAATTAGATCGAATACAATAAATATTATCGATAATTTCACTTAATGAAATAGTATAAATAGTTTAACTAAATAAAACATTGAAAATATCAAAATGTACTATAGATAGTTCAACTTGATAAAACAAATTAACATATTATTTGAAGTTGATCAAATAATAGAATTATTTTTATGTAATCAAATATTATTGATAACATCGTATTTTATCCCATTTTTAATATGTTTTATTTAGGTTTTTCATGGAGAAAATAAGAGATAATGGAGATTCAAAGATGTTTCCAAGTATTTATGCTCCAAGGATGAATTATGAGTTTTCAAGCAAAAAGGAATAAAAGTCGATTTAATCCCGTTTCATGACAGTTTCTGTACCTCAGAAGTATGGCGTCCGTTCGAGGTATTTCCGATTACCAAATCAAGAGATCGCGGTGGCTATGGAAAGCTAGAAGAGTCACGATTCGTCTCAAAGTGGAATCAGAGCGTTTCATTGAGCCATTCGGAAGTTATTCCCATAGGATTGAAGATATGTCCCGGACCGGCCAGACAGCCTTACGCCCGGTCCGGAGCCTTCTGACGCCCCCGGTCATGGAGCCCGTGCCCGGGCTGCTCTTCACACCTCACCCCGGTCATACCTAGCCGTGCCCTGTCCAGAAGCTCGAGCCTCACTTAACCTAATTCGTGGGGAATGACGGTTTTGCCCTTTGACCTAATCGAAACCTATATATACCGAGACAAAGTGGAGAAACCCAACGGCCTCTCAACCCTAATCTCGAGAGCCTCCCAAGTAGCCTCCCCGATGAGACTCTCAGCTCTCCTAGCTCCACCTCGTCGAAGCTCTTGCCCTTTGAAGAAGTCGTCCTTTGAAGCTTTCTCCTTTGTTCTTCATTGGTTTTTCTTCTACTCTTTCTTCTACTCTTTCTTTCAAGACTTTTGGGGAGACAAGTATGTTCTATGACACTAGAGAAGTCTTCTTTGAACCCCCTTTGTTTATTTCAATCGTTTATTATGCTTTTCTACTTCATCTCCATGTCGTTTCTTAGCATCATGAGACCTTTTTTGTTTCTTTGTTGGGTTTTATGGGGTGATTCAAAAGGGATTCATGGTTCAAAGCATACTAGGTTTATTGATCTGTTATTTCGTTCATACTTAGATTCATTTGGAACATCTTTTACTTAATGCATGTGTTTGGATTGATCACCAAACGCTGATCCAAGAGGTTAGGAGCTCTAATTGGGTAAACCTAATCTCGAACATAGTGTTACCAATCCTTCGTGTTGTTGCCTGCGTAAGTTGAGTAACATGACTTAGAGTACTTACCGAATCCAACCCTAATGCATCTGATCTATGCGTCGTTGCCTGCGTCAGTTGAGTAACGGAGTATAGGGAGATTTGCCGGCTTATTCTATAACCTAGGATAACTCGTTCATTCGCTTTTCGTAGTTATGAACTAGAACGAAAACATAGAAAATATAGAGATCTAAACCCTAGTTAGCCGAGAACCATGATACCCGGATAAACGCTAGAACGTCCAACGCCTTAGTCATATCGTTTACAACCGTTAATCATCTTACCTTTCATTAGTCTACTTAGCTTTCATTTATTTGCTTTCTTATTTCATTGCATTAGTCATTAGGAAACACAAAACCAAACCTCCAAAGTTTAGTTTTGTCTTACCTAGATCTTTTTGATTGAATTCAATAACTCGTAGTTACACTCTCTGTGGGATCGATACTAAAATACTACTCTGATTACTGTGCACTTGCAATTTAACGTGTGGTCTTTCAGGTAAAAGTTTTGAAGTGAAAACCATCACGCATCAATTATACATATCAACTAAATTATACATAGTCTTAGATAATTATCACCAATACAATATATTATGGATATTTAATTTATTTTTATATTTACTTTCTATTATAGAAATTCTATATATCTAAAAGTTGGAAATTCTATATATCTAAAATTTCTCATACTAATTTATGATAAAATGTTCTATATAAAATAATTTAATTTTTAATTTCTAGAATCTAATAACAACAAAACATTTTTCTATTTGATCATTATATTTCCAGTCATCTTTCTTTTATTTGTATATATGTAAAACAAAAATCGCCACATCATCTATATAATAAAAAATATAATTTGTTTAAATAATTTTGTAAATTTATACATAATCGTAGAAATGTTCAAAATATAACACTTAACTGAATATATATATTTGATACTTTAGGAATATACGGGTTGGTCTACAAAACCCACAGTCATATGTTGGAACAGGTTAGAATTTGATTTTCACGATTGCGGTCCTTTGCGACTCGGTCTGTCAAAACATGCAATTCTTATTCCAATGCAAGGTACATTAAATGGAATTGTTCGACCATTTTGACACTCATAAAAGTATAAATGCATTAATACAAAACTAATCGCTCTTTTGAATATGAAACTACAAAATTTGCACGGATATTATGAAATCAAATTTGGACTAACTTATACTTTTATTTCTCAAATATACACCATATATTAACATCATGTTAATTTAAATCTTTCTCAATTCAATATTTTTATACTTTCATTATGTTTCATAAGGTAAAATCGTTCTTTCAAACTACCCATTTCTCAAATTATAACTTAAAATTACCTTTTTCCTAATTATATTTATAGAATTACTAACTTTACGAGGGCTTCCAATTTTAAATTTTGTTTAAGAAATTACACATTTAGTTTGAGCGTTCATACAAAGGAAACACGACGCAGTGCATTATCAAATATAAAATTTTCATTATCTTCTTGTGGCATTTGTAAGTATAATGGTTGCTTTGATTTTGTAAAATAACTTTTGTCGGTGATAGTTTGTGGTATGCCACGTTTAGACTTGTATTAAAAAGGCCGTCTTTTGGATTCAGACTGCATAGATTATTCAAATTGCTTTGGCTTCAAAGGAAACCATCACCCAAACTCTCCTTTTACATTAGTTTATGGAGAAAAGAATATTGATATGCTAAATCACACATTAAATAAATTTAAATGTTTATAATTTAGTTGATGAATATGACATATGCATTGAATGTTAATGGAAGAGAAGAACTACGTACAAATGTCAACGAGTTTTTAAAATTTATATAGTTTTTTTTCTATTTATTATATGATCATTAAAAATATTTGATCTAATCCTATTATGATTTACACTATCTACAATGATTAAGGTGAACAATTTCTACGAATAACGATTCCACGATGCAGCTCTCTTCGTAACACTCAGATCCACGGCAGATGGTTCTTCATGTACGACATCTGATCAACAAATTCTCCGCTACCTTGTCTGTCTTCTAGCAATAGTTGCTCGATAAAATTATGTTTTTTTCTTCTCTAAAAAACCGACTTCAATCCACCAACAATTCGACAAAAGTTCTTCCTGATTTACGATTTCGACGTTGGTTTTTCACCTCGTATGAATGTGCTTTCGGTCTGCAATCGAAATATGTCTCCTTTCAACTTTGATGAAAGTGCTTTCCGGCCAAAAATCAAAAAGCCGAAGCTCAGCGGCGTAAACAATTGTGGCTGATTAAAAGTTCATAAACAATTCTTCTAAATATGCATGGGTAAAATCGTAAATTATCCTTCACCAAAAATATCGTAAATTATCGTAAGTTATTCGTAAAAGTTTTTTTTCCATTTATTATATGATCATTAAAAATATTTGATCTAATCCTATTATGATTTACACTATCTACAATGATTAAGGTGAACAACTTCTACGAATAACGATTCCACGATGCAGCTCTCTTCGTAACACTCGGATCCACGGCAGATGGTTCTTCATGTACGACATCTGATCAACAAATTCTCCGCTACCTTGTCTATCTTCTAGCAATAGTTGCTCGAGAAAATTATGTTATGTTTTTTTCTTCTCTAAAAAACCGACTTCAATCCACCAACAATTTGACAAAAGTTCTTCCTGATCTACGATTTCGACGTTGGTTTTTCACCTCGTATGAATGTGCTTTCGGTCTGCAATCGAAATATGTCTCCTTTCAACTTTGATGAAAGTGCTTCCCGGCCAAAAACCAAAAAGCCGAAGCTCAGCGTAAACAATTGTGGCTGATTAAAAGTTCATAAACAATTCTTCTAAATATGCATGGGTAAAATCGTAAATTATCCTTCACCAAAAATGTCGTAAATTATCGTAAGTTATTCGTAGAAGTTTTTTTTTCCATTTATTATATGATCATTAAAAATCTATACTAGTATAATCGCAGCACTTTTTGTGACGGGTGGGTAAAAAAACTTTCGGGTATATCGGATATCCGACCCATTTTAAAAATTCCTTCACAAAAAATTTGTTGGGTCGGGTTATATTTAACCCAACTCATACACCGGATATTCCATATTTAATAATTTAGATTTTTAGAAGATTTGATTAAGATTTATAATTATGATTCTCCTATCATCTTTGTTTGATTTGTTTTTAACTATTTTGAATCATCATATAATACATAAAGTAAAAAAAAAATCAATTTTTTTTCTGCATATACTGTGATTCGAAATTTTAAAAACAGACATATATTATCCAATTGACGAAAATGTGTGTTCAACGTTCTACATCGATTAAAATATTTAGACAATGATTCATAATCATATCATAAATAAGAACATTAATAAAAGAAATGAGTTTTTTGGCGGGATGGGTTTGGCAGGACGGGTTTTTGAATCAACAATAATAAAAAGATTAAAATATCATTAATCCGCCGCTTCAATGCGGATTTAATCCTTATTTTTTTTAATACATATCACAGGACGGGTTAAGAAATTACGGAACGGGTTATATTTCGGAAATGATTTATATGGCGGACGAATTTGAATCAATATTTATATACCGCTTTAATACGGGTTAAATCCTCAGTTTATTAATAATTATCATGTGGACTCGTGGTATACCGTTACTTAATAACAGTTGTAAACTATAATATAAATAAATATGTTATAAGGAGATACAATTTACAAAATATTTTTATACTAACTTTAAAATTAAATCATCCTGCGGTGTACCGCGGGTTAAAATCTAGTATTTGATCTAATCCTATTATGATTTACACTATCTACAATGATTAAGGTGAACAACTTCTACGAATAACGATTCCACGATGCAGCTCTCTTCGTAACACTCGGATCCACGGCAGATGGTTCTTCATGTACGACATCTGATCAACAAATTCTCCGCTACCTTGTCTATCTTCTAGCAATAGTTGCTCTGAGAAAATTATGTTATGTTTTTTTCTTCTCTAAAAAACCGACTTCAATCCACCAACAATTCGACAAAAGTTCTTCCTGATCTACGATTTCGACGTTGGTTTTTCACCTCGTATGAATGTGCTTTCGGTCTGCAATCGAAATATGTTTCCTTTCAACTTTGATGAAGCTCAGCGTAAACAATTGTGGCTGATTAAAAGTTCATAAACAATTGTTCTAAATATGCATGCGTAAAATCGTAAATTATCTTTCACCAAAAATGTCCAAATCTAGTACTTTTTAAATCAGTAAAATATTAGGTTATGTTTTATCGACTAATTTATATTTTTATAATATAATAAAATATCCTATTTCCAACCATACTAATTTGTAAAAGTTTCGAAGCGTGTAGGTTATGTTTTTTTTTTTCTGTAATGTGTGATAATTATTTGATTAACAAAGTTGAGGGCTAATGCAAAAGTGAAAGGAAAAAAACAAACCAGAATTAGGCGAAACAGAGCATAAAATAAGAAACAGATCATGAAAGATTATGCTACCATGACAGTAGACATTAGACCAGCGTTGAAAGAGGGGCTCCTCATTTCCGGCAGGTCCTTGTGGCGAGAGATGATACGATGACGGATAACATTGTCAATGATTTGAGCTCGCCAAATATGGTAAATGATTGCATAATCATGTGCAGATTTGAGAGAATGGACAAGCGAATGAAGACTGTAGTTCCAGTCTGGGCTGATCGAGTGACCAATCATGGCGCATAAGTAGTTCCATACAGTAAACCAGTAAGGACATACTTATCTTCTCTATTGCCTTTGTGTTGTTTTAATTTAGATAGCATTTTTATGCTTACTAAATAAAGTGTCTAACTCTCGGCTTAAAGAGTGTAAGTTCTATGTTACTAAGATAGATTACTTACATGATTAATTGATCCATTTGCTGGATAGTCCTCCAACGTTAATCTTAAATCGAAAACAAATAGCTCAGACTTTTGTAAAATGTAATGAAAAAATCACCTGGTGCTTTTGCTATTGATTGAAGACGCCTCCGAAGACATTGAAACTCAGAATACTAGGAAAGTGAAGTCTCAAAAGCACCATATCGTTCTCTGTAATACCGAGAGCTCAAGAGCTCCGACAAGATGGAAAAAATAGTAATTGATGAGCCATGAACCGAACTAGATACTACTTCATATGTATCTTGAGAAATTTGCTTCTGTTAAAAATGAAAGATAAAGAAACTGATCGAGGAGTGCTAACTGTTACGTGATGTCTTTGAACCGGACTGGACCTGCAACGCAGCTACTAAATCAACAAGTAGACAAAGAGCATAATAATTAATGAAACAACTCTCAGTTTTGCATGAACTTCAATCAGAATCGTTATAAAGAAGGAGAAAACTCCCAAAAACCCAAAGAAGAAAACAACATCTCTTACCCATGAATTGATCGAAAGTGAAGATTTGTCTTTGAAAATATGATTAACCAAAAATCTCATCTACTTCACTAAGTGCTCGATCACATTGACACACTGAATTTGAAGAAACTCTTGATTAGGGATTTGATAGGTTGACAACAATATAACCTCTGTTAGAGTGAATTCATCATCATGGATTAGGGTTCTATCACCGGAAGCTACTGATGGAGAAGAACTCGTGGACTCAGCAGCTCTTTCAATCCTCTACTGTTGCCCAATTGATTAAAACTGATAAGCTAATAAAATTGATCCAATTATGAAAGCGGAGGTGTGACGGGATTTCCGAAAGAGAGGCAACCTAGAAACTCACCGAGAGTTCGAAGATTGGAAATCACAGTCTAGAAGGTAGGTACGAAAGAGAAGAGCCACCTCCAAGATCCTGAGATTTGATGATGATGAATGATGATGATGATGAATGACGATGAAGAGAGAAAGAGATAAAGAAGACGATGAAATCGATTTTGATTGTACCGTAACCCGAGATAAAGACATAAGTAATTTAACCAAGTGATTAACCTGACTTAACACAGGTCGAAAGATTATTTTTTAATCGCACTTTCCTTTTCCAATTTTTCTTTAGTTGCCGAGATTTTTTGTTTCCCTTTCACCCCTGAATTATTATATACTTTGTTTTCTGACGTGGTCTCGGTAAATTATTTTGCTTTCACCCCTTCAAAAATATTTTATTTTATATTTTGATTGTCTTTTTTATTTATTTTAGTAATACTATTCTATTAAAATGACATTGTTTTGTTGATAAAAAAAAATGACATTGTTTTAGTATGTTTTACGTTTTGTGACTATCACTAGCAACTAATTGTCAAACTGAAATATACTTTCTTAAAAACATTTATAATCTAGAATTTGTACAGTAAATAAATAAACAAACATTTAACAATTAGATTATATATACTTTTGATTGAATAAAAGTTATAATATTAAAAATATTTTAGTTTGATCAAATAAATAAATAAAATTAAATATTACCAAATGTTGGTAGAGAGGTTTTCTAAATTAGCAATTATCAATAATGTTGCATTATACAATATATTTATTTTACAAATTTTAAATTTTTATTTTCTTTCAAAATTTAACATTTCTATTTTCATTATTACACACCTAACTTATGCAACTGTTCAAATTATTTTTGTGCACCAAAACCAGTTGTAATTTTTTAATATAAAAAACACATAAAAATGTTGCAAATAATATTTTATAACTACACTATGTATAATAAATTAATAACGAATGACGAGAAATATTTTTTATAACGAATGAAACAAATAATAAATATGTGTACCAAAGTTTTAAAAAAACACCAAACAAAAATTTTCAATAAATATACTACATTTTTGATATACTGTTGTAATGGTCACTAACACACAAAAAAATAATTTATTAATTCAAACTTTATGCAACACATTTATTTGTGTATTTTATCCCGCACGTACGTGCGGGTCCGGATCTAGTGGTCTTTATCCTTAAATCAATAAATCTCCCTAATTCCTCCGTCAATTACTAACCATACGATGTCGTGTAAGAGTTTACAATCGTTGAATGAAATATGGTTTTTGATTCGACTCTAACAAAGATTTGATTGGTGACAACCAAGACACAAATATGAATGAAGAAAAAACTAATGGAAATCACTACAATAAATATTCACATTGATAGCATACGACGATAGTTCATTTGATAATAATGTAGATATTTCTTGTAGTAAATAAATATAATAAAATTTAAAGAATAAAGAAAAAATAATAGAATCTAAAACTATTAATTGAGGAACAATTTTAAAAGAGTATCTTAGAAAATTTTAAAATGACATGAAATGTAATTTATATTTAGGTTATTTTTATAGATACATTATATAAAAAAAAATTAAATCACTAAATCGATATAATTAAATATAAGAAATTGGTAACAAATCTTTTAGATAATTATTAATTTTCAAAACTTTAAACTCTCTTTCTATGTTCCATTAATAATAAATTCAAAAATAATTATTAGCCAATCAAAATTGAATAAGAAAAATTTGATATCCAATTATATGATATTTTTATTTTTGATCATTATAGTTTATCTTTCATCATTCTTTGATCCTTATTTTATAATAAAATGAATGATCACATCATTCATATAATAAAATAAATTTAGATTTTTTTTTAATGAACATATAATTGTGTTCAAAAACATATTATAGGAGGTCCACACTAGTAAAAAGATGTAAGAGTAGCACACATGATTTAATAAGCATCTGAAATCTTAAAAAATTAATTGGTTTCATCCGGTTCTTTTGAACTGTATAATTAGATCGAATACAATAAATATTATCGATAATTTCACTTAATGAAATAGTATAAATAGTTTAACTAAATAAAACATTGAAAATATCAAAATGTACTATAGATAGTTCAACTTGATAAAACAAATTAACATATTATTTGAAGTTGATCAAATAATAGAATTATTTTTATGTAATCAAATATTATTGATAACATCGTATTTTATCCCATTTTTAATATGTTTTATTTAGGTTTTTCATGGAGAAAATAAGAGATAATGGAGATTCAAAGATGTTTCCAAGTATTTATGCTCCAAGGATGAATTATGAGTTTTCAAGCAAAAAGGAATAAAAGTCGATTTAATCCCGTTTCATGACAGTTTCTGTACCTCAGAAGTATGGCGTCCGTTCGAGGTATTTCCGATTACCAAATCAAGAGATCGCGGTGGCTATGGAAAGCTAGAAGAGTCACGATTCGTCTCAAAGTGGAATCAGAGCGTTTCATTGAGCCATTCGGAAGTTATTCCCATAGGATTGAAGATATGTCCCGGACCGGCCAGACAGCCTTACGCCCGGTCCGGAGCCTTCTGACGCCCCCGGTCATGGAGCCCGTGCCCGGGCTGCTCTTCACACCTCACCCCGGTCATACCTAGCCGTGCCCTGTCCAGAAGCTCGAGCCTCACTTAACCTAATTCGTGGGGAATGACGGTTTTGCCCTTTGACCTAATCGAAACCTATATATACCGAGACAAAGTGGAGAAACCCAACGGCCTCTCAACCCTAATCTCGAGAGCCTCCCAAGTAGCCTCCCCGATGAGACTCTCAGCTCTCCTAGCTCCACCTCGTCGAAGCTCTTGCCCTTTGAAGAAGTCGTCCTTTGAAGCTTTCTCCTTTGTTCTTCATTGGTTTTTCTTCTACTCTTTCTTCTACTCTTTCTTTCAAGACTTTTGGGGAGACAAGTATGTTCTATGACACTAGAGAAGTCTTCTTTGAACCCCCTTTGTTTATTTCAATCGTTTATTATGCTTTTCTACTTCATCTCCATGTCGTTTCTTAGCATCATGAGACCTTTTTTGTTTCTTTGTTGGGTTTTATGGGGTGATTCAAAAGGGATTCATGGTTCAAAGCATACTAGGTTTATTGATCTGTTATTTCGTTCATACTTAGATTCATTTGGAACATCTTTTACTTAATGCATGTGTTTGGATTGATCACCAAACGCTGATCCAAGAGGTTAGGAGCTCTAATTGGGTAAACCTAATCTCGAACATAGTGTTACCAATCCTTCGTGTTGTTGCCTGCGTAAGTTGAGTAACATGACTTAGAGTACTTACCGAATCCAACCCTAATGCATCTGATCTATGCGTCGTTGCCTGCGTCAGTTGAGTAACGGAGTATAGGGAGATTTGCCGGCTTATTCTATAACCTAGGATAACTCGTTCATTCGCTTTTCGTAGTTATGAACTAGAACGAAAACATAGAAAATATAGAGATCTAAACCCTAGTTAGCCGAGAACCATGATACCCGGATAAACGCTAGAACGTCCAACGCCTTAGTCATATCGTTTACAACCGTTAATCATCTTACCTTTCATTAGTCTACTTAGCTTTCATTTATTTGCTTTCTTATTTCATTGCATTAGTCATTAGGAAACACAAAACCAAACCTCCAAAGTTTAGTTTTGTCTTACCTAGATCTTTTTGATTGAATTCAATAACTCGTAGTTACACTCTCTGTGGGATCGATACTAAAATACTACTCTGATTACTGTGCACTTGCAATTTAACGTGTGGTCTTTCAGGTAAAAGTTTTGAAGTGAAAACCATCACGCATCAATTATACATATCAACTAAATTATACATAGTCTTAGATAATTATCACCAATACAATATATTATGGATATTTAATTTATTTTTATATTTACTTTCTATTATAGAAATTCTATATATCTAAAAGTTGGAAATTCTATATATCTAAAATTTCTCATACTAATTTATGATAAAATGTTCTATATAAAATAATTTAATTTTTAATTTCTAGAATCTAATAACAACAAAACATTTTTCTATTTGATCATTATATTTCCAGTCATCTTTCTTTTATTTGTATATATGTAAAACAAAAATCGCCACATCATCTATATAATAAAAAATATAATTTGTTTAAATAATTTTGTAAATTTATACATAATCGTAGAAATGTTCAAAATATAACACTTAACTGAATATATATATTTGATACTTTAGGAATATACGGGTTGGTCTACAAAACCCACAGTCATATGTTGGAACAGGTTAGAATTTGATTTTCACGATTGCGGTCCTTTGCGACTCGGTCTGTCAAAACATGCAATTCTTATTCCAATGCAAGGTACATTAAATGGAATTGTTCGACCATTTTGACACTCATAAAAGTATAAATGCATTAATACAAAACTAATCGCTCTTTTGAATATGAAACTACAAAATTTGCACGGATATTATGAAATCAAATTTGGACTAACTTATACTTTTATTTCTCAAATATACACCATATATTAACATCATGTTAATTTAAATCTTTCTCAATTCAATATTTTTATACTTTCATTATGTTTCATAAGGTAAAATCGTTCTTTCAAACTACCCATTTCTCAAATTATAACTTAAAATTACCTTTTTCCTAATTATATTTATAGAATTACTAACTTTACGAGGGCTTCCAATTTTAAATTTTGTTTAAGAAATTACACATTTAGTTTGAGCGTTCATACAAAGGAAACACGACGCAGTGCATTATCAAATATAAAATTTTCATTATCTTCTTGTGGCATTTGTAAGTATAATGGTTGCTTTGATTTTGTAAAATAACTTTTGTCGGTGATAGTTTGTGGTATGCCACGTTTAGACTTGTATTAAAAAGGCCGTCTTTTGGATTCAGACTGCATAGATTATTCAAATTGCTTTGGCTTCAAAGGAAACCATCACCCAAACTCTCCTTTTACATTAGTTTATGGAGAAAAGAATATTGATATGCTAAATCACACATTAAATAAATTTAAATGTTTATAATTTAGTTGATGAATATGACATATGCATTGAATGTTAATGGAAGAGAAGAACTACGTACAAATGTCAACGAGTTTTTAAAATTTATATAGTTTTTTTTCTATTTATTATATGATCATTAAAAATATTTGATCTAATCCTATTATGATTTACACTATCTACAATGATTAAGGTGAACAATTTCTACGAATAACGATTCCACGATGCAGCTCTCTTCGTAACACTCAGATCCACGGCAGATGGTTCTTCATGTACGACATCTGATCAACAAATTCTCCGCTACCTTGTCTGTCTTCTAGCAATAGTTGCTCGATAAAATTATGTT